CTTTCGAAAGTTATCGTGTAAACGGCCGGACGGACACACAGACCGATTTTAGTAGCGTACTCACTTTTTGAGTACACTAAAAACGAAAACGAAATTGAATTATTGAGAAACTTACGAAAGTACAAATACATCTTTTTCTATAGATATGTTTTATTTAGAGCTCCTCATATAAAACAATCACTCGGTTATTCGAATTTTACGAATAATTAATGTTGCCTTTTAAATTATTTTTATCTTAATCTTTATTATTTATTTTACATGACATCAGGATTATTTGCTGTTGTTGTAAGTACATATAAATCCCAAGCAGTATCTAAGTAATTTGTAAAATATTCACTTCCATTTGGATATGTTAATTTTCTAATAATAGATTAAAGAAAAAAAAAAATTTAATTTCGAAAGATTATTCTTGATATAATTTAATTTACTTATTTTTTAAAATACCAACACCAAGTAAAGTAAATGTCAATACCGAAAATAGAAATAGAAACATAACATTGCCTATATTTGGTAATGTTCGAAGAATATTTCGAATAACACGACGAACCTATTGAAAAATATTTCAATAAAATTAAAAATAATTATTCATTCAATTTTTTACATTTTGACCAGCTTGTAAAGCAAATGGGAAAAAAACACGAAGTGGACGAGACCATCGAACATAATAATAACCTTTCAATGTCAATGCATAATAAATAATCATATCAGTACTTGTTAACTAAAATCAACTACACAATATGTTAGAATTTTATTTTGACAACAAAATAATATTATTTTTACCAGAAAAACAGCTAAGAATATATAAGGAAAAACAGCTTCACTCAATAATTTTCGTTTATCTTGCAAATGCATTGATAAGATAAATGAAGCAAAAAGTATTGATAAAGCAATTGTTTCAATAATTAGAGCTACCCATGGAGGAACATCTGTAAAATAAGCTGGTCGTTCAATACAAGGTAATAAAAGTAAAGTAAAATCGGCAAGCCATACTATCCAATACCAATATGTTGAATAGATGAGTGTATATAAGCTAAAAAGAAACTATTAAAAAAAAACAACAACAACTGTTACGTCAATTTTGTCTATACCTTAATACTGGTTTATCGAAAGCAAAACGAACATAATGACCTGCATTAATGGCAAGAATTTCGGCTGCAGCATACTCGACATCCTGTGTATATCTACTCAGTTGAATATATTTGAAAAGAAATAAATGATTATGGTCCTCACCGATGTCGATGGTATGGCTCGTTTGTTTGCTTGTTCTAAAAGTAAACCTAGAATTTAAATTAGAAAATAATCATTTCTAACGAAGGAAGATCGCAACTAGTAATTAATTATTTATTAGTCGAGACTATACGCATCATGTGAACCGTAATGAGTTATAAATACTCCGAGAAAGTTACAAAAAAAAACATTTTTCGAAAATCGACTTGAAACGTCACACAGAGACAAACATTGACGAGAATAGTTTATTGTGAAAGTTTCAAATATTTTGATGCTGTAAATAGTTCAGATTCAAAAGTTTCTCTATGAATTCTTTTCTATCTTAAGAATTTCGAATCAATGTTATCGCATATCGGAGAATTCGAGAGAAACGTTCAACAATCAAGTGAAGAATAAACATGACATAATCTTTTATTAAATATTATTTAGCTATTAACTACGTAACATTACTAACTTCATGGCAATCCTATGAGACCATATTTAAAATAAAGAAGATAAAAGTTTCCTTGATATTTTTCTTCTGTATAATACATACACTATTAATCTATACTCCATCCAACAACAGAAATGAATTTTCTTTCGAACAATAAAAATATTTTGCTTTTTTTCTATAAAATCCTAAATTCAAGTATTATGATGCAGAAGTAAATCGAATGTTATAGATAATGTCACAGAGTATATTAGAATACTTGCTCATAAAAAAGAGTAAGTATGAAAATTATTTAACAAAGTTTGTTTTCAATTTTTTACCACTCGTCTAAGCTTTAGAAAGAATCAAAATAGTGATTCCAATAGAGAATGGTTTCCAACAAGAATACAAGAAAATTTGATGGAAGGTCAAAAAATGTTTTTTCCTATAGGAAAAATTTGGAAAGAAAACAACTTTATCTGCTTCGATATGATTGATATATTTCATTTAAAAAGCGTCATAGAGAACTTGGAAACATCTCATTTTGTAGAGAATTGTTTGTTCTATCGTTTTATGTAGTCAAAATAAAATTATATTTACTTGTTCTAAAACCTCTAAAAAACTAGTCATTTTGGTTTTCTAGAGTTTCTCTTTTTTGAGAACGTGCTAATGATTTTTATTTTCTCTATTTCGATTCGTTCTCATCTCAGAAACTGGAACTTTTTCAATAATTAAAAGCGCATTAGACAACACTGATTCTGACATTCTGTGCCTTTTTTTTTTTTTTTACAGATTTTGCATAATAATCATTTGATTCTTTATATGACGATAAACATTTTTTCATCAATCGAAAAACAAAATCTGTATTTTGTGTATCCATTACAAAAGTACATTTCTAATAAAATATTATTACAAATACAAACCTGTTGTTGTCATTTGTTCGTTATCACGCGACTAACAAATGAATAGAAAAAAAACACACGAACGACAAAAATCTAAAGTCAACTTTTTGTTACTCTTACCAAGCTGCTATCATATTTCACACACACATATTAATCTTTATATTTAAAGATAACAAAATGCATACACACACACACACATATGACGCTCAATTTCCTTTTTTTTTCTCTGATATTTTTTTTTTATTCTTTCTTTACAATTTCAAATTAAGATCGTTTTTTCTTGTCCTTAGTTTTGGCATTTGTAGGAGTTACTGAAATAATTCTTTCTTGTTCTATTAAATCAATTGGTGCTCGAATATGAATAAATTCATGTTGATTAGGCCGTGCAAATTGATCATTATCATTCATTTCAAATTCATCACGAATTATTGAAAGACGCTGAAGTACAACAGATGTTCGTTGACCACCTAAAGAAAGAAGACCAGGAAGTTTTATAAAACGACATCCGAGACCAACAGCCTAAAATAAAAATAAATAAAACTTGAAAATGTTGTTTGTTTTATATTTTCATACAAGATCTGCTAAATGAACTTGTGCTACTTCTTGATGATCTCGTTCAAATAATCCCAAAGCATAACCATTTAGTTCTATTGAAAAAAAAAATGCTTCTTTTTTTTTTTAAACCAGGAGAAAATAAATGAAGTTATTTACCACGAAATGTATTTATTCGATTTATTAATTCAGTAATTGTTGGAGCACCATCTAACGATAATAAATGACAATTAATTGTATCATTATCATTATTATTTTCATTTCGATAACGACGTATATCAGTTGATGTTATATAGCATTTATTTGATATTCGATCACATAAACGAGATAATGATGTTTTGTCCTAAATATATATATATATTTATTTATTTATAATAATAGAAATATTCAATAAGAACAAAGAAATGTTACAGCATATCGAAAAGGATCAATTAACATAATACAACGAGGATAAGTATCAATCAAATCAGCATAAATATCAACTAATTCATCAGGCGATTTTACTACACCAGTTGTTACTTCATATTTACCACGTGTCTACAATGATAATATTTTAAAATTCAAAGATTCAAAAAAAAAAAGAAAAGAAAACAATCTTTCACATAATCAAATGTTTCATATGGTCCCATTTGTATGGCATAATCAAACCAATGTTCATCAGTACCACATACACTATTAATAGCATTTTGAATTAAATCAAATCCTTGTTCAGGTTTATCCATTGGAAAAACAAGACATCCATCATCAGTAGAATAACTTGATTGAAGCTGAGAAAATAAAGCAAAAAATAAGAAAATGAAAACATTAATTTTTTTCTTTTGTTTTTAACATACAATCGCTCCTTTAGCATTTATTAATGAGTCACGTAAAAATTGTATAATATTGTGTAGTTTATGCACCCACTATGAGATTCAAATTATTAAAAAAAAAAAAAACGAAAGTATCAAAATAACCTACCTCTTCATTATGTATCATATTCGGTGTTGGTATAAGCATGATATATTTAATTAGTGATTGTTTACCCGGATATGTTGGTCCACTTTGAAGAATAGGTATTATTGGTAATGGCATTGAAATATTTATAATAGATGGATGTTGAATAAGACGAAATAAATTTGATTGTCTCATTTCAGCAGTTATTAAACAACAGGTTAATGATATACCTGTAATTAATAATTGACCAGCAAATGACGTTGGTTCGGGTTCATCGGGAATAATTTCAACCGGTTGAAGATCTTTATTTGCTCTAGAAAATAAAAAAAAACAAGATTTCGAATCAAAGTTATATATAACTAACCCTTTTTTACTCGGTGTTGGAGCTGCACCAGCTTTAGCTGCACCAGTACCGGTCGGTGGACGTGCATTTATTGATGCTTTAACTGGTGTAACATCAGAAGCAGGTTCACCGTTAGAATCTTCGGATTCGACTGCTGCTAACTTTGCCATTTGATCAGCGTGTTTTGAACGAAAGTCTCTAGAAAGAAAAAATTAAGAGAAGATAGAAATATTGGAAACAAAAGAATGATCAATACACAAGAAGATCATCAATAGTTATTTGATCGAATAAATCAATTCGATTAAGAATTGTTCTTAATGATGCCGAATTGACTGAAAAAAAAAAGATAGAAAATTTTTAAAAAAATTCATAAATCTTCATATATTATAATTACCCAATGTTTCTAATTGTTTGCTTGTTAATTTATTTAATTTACCAGATGATAAATTTACTGTAAGTCCATTATGTCGCTATATAGTAAAAAAAATTATTGTTTACACTAAAAAATTAAATATTATTATTTGATTTTTACTTCAGTTCTATTTCTAAGGGCAACTGTAAGATCGATATGCATGGCTGATTCATCAGCAGGACCTATCAATCGTCTTAAAGTCAAATCAACAATTTGCGGTTGTTTGCTTTGACCCAAAAAATGATTAGCCTATAGACAGCATTTTAAAAAAAAAACCAACAACAGAAAATAATGTGATGTAAAAGAAAAAGTCTTTTCACTTACAACATAACCATTAAGATCATCTGGTTTTTCATAAACAAGATGATTGAGAACATCTTCAAGTTCTGATACAATAGAAGATGATTCAAGAAAAGATCGAGCTTTTGTACGTGGATCGTCATACATTGTTTCTTTTTTCTTCAGATATATTACTTGAAAATTCTTTTCATTTACTTCAAACATTACCTAACGACGAACTTCAGAAATGAGAACTGTTGATGTATAGAGGTCGCTAAACACTGTGCATCAATGTTTTTTTTTAATATCAATATAATCATAGATGTGATGAAATCTCTTATAAAAAATCAAAACAAATTTTTATACAATAGAGAATTTTTCTTTTTTTTATTTACAATTCGAATCATTTATATCTGATTTAGTAACAGAGATTCGAACAGCAGGTGTACCAAGCCAAATCAAAATGTATGAAATCCTTGTAATAATCAAAATACACGCTGTTTTACACGTTATTGGCAAAAGCAACGTGTACACCGTACACTTTGCTAACAAAAATAACGCGTTCCTTTTTTTAATGAACAAATCGACTTCTGTCTCTGTTCTAATCTGTTAAAATTTTTATCAATACGATTAGTGAAAATAATATTTAAAAAGTACCGTTTAGTGCAACCTCTTTTGTTCAATTTTATAAAAGTTGATTTAATGTGGTTTTGTGATGATCATGTCGATATGCATCGTGAAGAAAATGAAAGTGAAAATGAAAATGAAAGTTTTGATTGATTTATATTGGTCTTTCTTCTCATTTAATGNAGCTAGATCCAGTTAGAACTTCTTTCTCATGTTTCATCGGTTACAACAGACGAATCAATTATTCTGTAATCAGCTCCTGACCACTGAGAACGCAAGATACATCGAAGATCTGTCAAATTTTTATTGTCTTAGACATTATCCGAGAATTGTGTGAATAACGATATAATTTATATGGTGAAGTAGACTATCAAGTATTTATAATCGATGAAAAAAGGAGAAAATGTTACTCTTAGTAGCTAACACAGGATTTTTCTGTTTCTATGACTATTTATTGGTCATTGTAAACAGTTAATCATCGGGCTCTCGGATTACTGAGAGTTACGATCACTCAAACTAATCTGATATTTACAACATGAGTTACTTTTTTGTAATCTAACTAAGCAATCAAGTTTTTGTATTTTGACGATGAAAAATTTTATAAAAAGATATATGAAACCATATTATGGTAGATAATGCTTCATTATTTATTCATCTTGGATTTTGTCCGTGGACTATATGTGTATGCATCATTGTGTTTGTTTATGCTGAGAAATAATGATGGTAGAATCTACCGTTTAATCAGCATTGTGTTTAAAATAAATAAAATAGTCGAAACCAGAAAGTATTGAAAACAAAATGATGTGTTTCGTCGACGCTGACTTTAGTCGTCTATAGAAATTAACTAAAATAGTCAGAAAGGTAACTACTAAGATCGGCCATCGTTCAAAGTTATTCCATTTTTTAAATCACAAAAAAGAAAGATCTTTGCTCTTATCAGATGATCAATTAATTAAAATCACTGATGATTATGAATGCCCTACTGGTAAAGAAAAAATTGGA